ATTTATAAAATATTTTTGAAATAAAAAAAATATATTTTCAAATATAAAAAAAAAACATTTTTAATATAAAAATATATATTTTTTGAATATCTATAAAAATATATAAACAATATTTATAGATATATAAAAGTATATTTAATCAAATTAAAATATTTTTTTATATATAAAAACATTTTCAGTGATTTTTTAATTTACTTTTTGGTTAAAAAATCCTAAAATGTTTATAAGAGTATATGGGTGTTGAGAAATATATATAATCATCCTAAAACATTTTTTTAAAAATATTTTTATATGAAATGCTGAAAAAAAAATTGTATTAAATATTCAATACTTGGTGAGAACATTTTTTTAAACAATATAAAAATACGTTTTCATAAAAAGTTGATAATATATATTTTTTAAAATAGTATATGAATTTTTATAAAAATATTTAACCATCCTTCTTCCTACAATAATGAAAGTCACAACATAATCTCAGAAAAAAATATGTTTTCTGAAATACCTGAAAGGTTTTTTTTAAATTCCTAAAAAGTAGATTTTTCATAAAAAAATATTAAAAAAATGTGTCGGCGTATTGAAGAAGTCACAACATTATTTCAGAAAAAATACATTTTTTCGAAAGATGTTTTAGATTTCTAAAAAATTGATTTTTTTTAAATAAAAAAATATTTGAAAAAAATGTTATCGGCATATTAAAAGTCTGGAGTCTTCAAAAAGTCATCGGTCCTTTCGAACAAACTATTATTGTTCGCTTTTCATTTCGAGGAAAACCCCTTAGTTTCCTTTCGAAATAAAAAAGCCTCTGACAACCTCATTTCAGTTTTTTTTTTCACTTTTTTTATAAGACCATCATATATGATTTATTTACGATTATTTTTTTTAGCAAAAATAAATTATTTACAATTATGTATGTATATATGTAATAAATTGTATATTAATTATTTTTTATAATTTTTTCTGAGCATTTTTTTTCAAATAGTAAAGCAAGCAAAAATGTTTTTGAGATAAAAAATTGGCAACCCTTAAGAAAGTGTATCAATTATATTTAATATTTCTGTTTTGATTCGATTTTTATAGTAATTTTAAATATTGTCCTGTTGTATTATAGTTGATGTTGTTGTTGTATTTTTTTCCTTTTGAAAAGTTTGTATATGGGCAAGATTAGAAAAAATAGGAAATTATAATTTACAATTTTTTATGAGAAAAAACCAAGGACCCTTCTTCCAAAGATGAGGTTAAGGGGCTTTTATATTTTTTTTTTTTATTTTTATTTTGTAATAAAACCGTGGATCCTTGCTTCTCGAGTTTTTTTTCCAACGACTTCCAGTGGGATTTTAAACAATATTTAGCCATGTTATAGATGTGCTAATGAAGATCCTTTGTAGTCCTTAAGAAAACATTCCGTTGCTTCTGCCTTCCATCCGCATGAGTCGATTTCCTGTAAATCCCTTTTTTTCTTTTATAGCAAAAAACAAACTCATTTTGTTGTTTTTTTTTTCGTTTTTTATATGTTTTTATTTTTGAAATATATTTTTAGGTTTTTTTATGTATATATATTTGTTGTTGTTGTTTTCATTCATTTTCTTTGTAATTATTGGCTAACTTTTTTTCTCTGTTGTAGTTGGTTTTCGGTTTTTTAAGATTAATAATAAATTTATATTAATTATATTAATTTTTATGATTTATTTCATTCAAGTATTTTTTTGTTTTTATAAATCATTAGTATACATACAAATTATTTGTTGTTGTTTTATTTAAATTATTACATTAAAAATGTAGGGTTTTTTTCCATAAATTACTCATATTTATATATATCGTATAACCATTTAGATTTTTTGTTGTTGTTGTTTTGTAATGTATTTTTTATTTAAAAAATAAAAAAATGGAGGAAGGAAGAAGATTGGGGGTTGATGAGAGAGGGGGAGGAGTAAGGGTATGGCTTTTGGAGACAGGGAATTTTGAGGGCAGAATTTTTAGGACTATTTTTTTTGTAAACCAAAAAATTAAAATATTTTTATATTGAAAAAAATATTTTTTTATTTAAATTAAAAAAATTATTTTTTTTTCGATCCCAAAATTCTGCCTCCTTTTATTCCTTGTGGGAGAGGATATGGTTAATTTTTTTGTAGTGAAAAAATAAATCAAAGAAAAAACGTTTAATTTTGATTGCATTTCTGTGTGTGTGTTTAATTTTTTTGCTTTTTATTACAAAATTTTGCTAAAAACTAAATTTAAAAATTAAAAAAAAAACTTAAAATTACAAAAAAAGCAAATAAAATAAAAATATTGTTTGTTTTTTTTATCGTTTGTTTGTATATAAAATATCACCTAATAAAAATTACGTATATCAAGTATCAATATTTTTTTTTAGATTTTTTTCAGTTTCATATATGAAGATTTCTATATATATAAAATAACATAAAGACAACAATAAACAAATTATTTTTTTTCACATATATATAAAAAAATTAAAAATTAATTAATTATTTATGTGTATAGGAAGATTGAAGCATATAATCTATAAAAAAAGTTCTATAAGAATATTTTTTGAAAATTATAAAAATAAAAAAATATTTTTCTTTTTTAGAAAAAAACAAAGCAAAGCTTTTATCGTATAATTTGTGTATAAAGTTTTTTGTTTTAGAATAATTTTAAAATTATTTTTTTATGTATACTTTTTGTATTTTGTTTTTAAGGAGAGGATTTATTTTTAATTATCTTTTATATACTAGTAACCATAAAGTACAACAACTATTGCATGTTCGTTTTTTTAATTTTTAGGAAAAAACATATTTTTGCATTTTTTTTAATCATTGCCCATATAGCTTTTCAAATGTGTGTGTTTGTTTTGTATGAGAGAGTTAGAGAGATAGAGTGTTAAACCTATTTTCTAAAAAAAATTTTACTCTTTACGCCTTATGGGGCTTTAACCTTAGCCCCGTAATAAACCTGGAGTTAAGTCCTATCCACTATTTTTTTTGTTGTTTTTAATAAAAAGAGCTTAAAGTTTGTTTAGTAACCATTTTAAGTTTAGTTTTAAGTACTTTAGTAAGTTTGGGGGGAGGGGGATTTTTTTCAAAAAATATATATTTTTGTATATATTTTTTCAAAGGTAGCTTTTAAAGTTATTAACTAACTCTAGAGCTTTTTTTCATTACGTATATCGTTGCTTTGTTGTTTGTGGAGGAGAGTAGGGGGTCCAAGGGAGTTTGGTTAGAAAATACTAGTTTTTGTGGAAGAAAATTTTTTAAGTTTTCTGGCATTTTATAAATGTTAATTAATTATTATTTAAGTTTATATATTACACCGTTGTTTATATTTATAATAAATTATTTTTTTGTTTCTTAATTTTTGTTTTTAATTATTAATTTTTTTAATATTAAGAATATTCGTATACTTTTTATTTGAACTTAAGTTTTTTTGTTTTCTTTTGTATATTGTTAGTTTGTGGAAAATTAAGAAAAATGAGAAGTGAAAAATTTGAAAAAAAAATATTCTTTTTGGCAAGTTTTTTTGAAAAAAAAAATTATAGGGACGTTTAGTTTTTTTTAGAAAAAATCGTATACTTGTATGGGTATTTTTTTCATTTACGTATATCTGGGTTTCATTTGTATAATTTTGACTTGCTTTACTTTTTTGTTGAATTAAAAAAAAAATATTTTTGAAGAAAAAAATTTTATAAAATTTTTTTTGGAAAAAATTGTTTTGAAAAAAAATTATTTTTTTTATAAAAAGTGGGACCTAATAGTCAGCCTCGTTTTTAATGCGATAACTGGCATAGGTTTGTTCCAGAGGTTTAAATTGTTGCTGTTGCTGATCCTAGTTTGTTTTTGGTTGTGAGGAAAATATTTTGAAAAAAATATAAAGAATTTTTTTAAAGGAAAAAAATTTCAAAAATAGTTTTTTTAAGATACTTTGGGGGGTTAGTAAAAATTAGTAAATTAAAAAATAAAAATGATGATAATAATATTTTTTGTATAATATATTTTTGTTGTTGTTTAGTATTTTTTAGGTTAGTTTTTTGTTAAAAAAAAGAAGGATATACATATATACTATATTGGCGAGCTATATGGGCCTCTTGCAAAAACGAAGTTTGTATTGATTTTTCTTTTTCATGTAAGTTATTCTTTTGTTTCTTTTGTAGTAGTTGCGGTACTTTTTACAAATGTTTTGTTGTTGTAATTTTTTCAAAAAATTATTATGATTGTATATTACAATTTTTTTTTTAAATTTTTATTATAAAATATTTGAAAAAAAAAAACAAAAATATTTTTCTTTTGAAATTTTTTTTTTAAATTTTTTTAAATTTTTGCCTTAATTTTTTTTGAAAAAAAATATTTTTGTTTTTTTCCTCCTACCACACATTAAGAAAAAACACAAATATATGACTATTAGCATTTAAAATTGCAGCACGTATAGTTGTTTTTTTACACAAGAAAAAAAACTGCAATAAATTTTCTTTTAAAAAAACTTTGCACATGCTAAAAGTATTTATATCCCATTGGTTAAGAATTTTTTTTATAAATTTCTTTTTTTTCTAAACAAAAGAAAAAAAAACTATTACGCACTTTTTGCTCGAGTGTACAGCTTTGGGTGGTAGCAGCTTCCTTTGGATTTTTGTTTGGAATATTTAATTTTTTTTGGGGGGAGAGAGAGCTATACGTGTTGCAATCTTTTTCATATTTGGATTTTTTTTGTTTGTAGTCATGGATTTGGATAATTTCTTGAAAACGTGGCGTTTAGGATTTTGTTTTTTTGGGAGTGTTTTTTTTGTTATTTTTAATTTTTTAAAATTTTTGGTAATTTACACAATTTGTATTTTTTTCAATTATTTTTTTTTAAATTAAATTATTATTTTTTATTTTATTTTAATCCCAGGGCATTGTGAGCACCCGCTTCGTTTTTGCAAGAAGGTCGTTATCGTACTACGAACATGGGTGCACCACCGCATTGTAGCTCGCCAATATAGGACCATGTGCTCCCGCGAAGGGGGTACTCACAACGTCTGGTGTACTAGCTCCATCGGTGTGTGATGTTGAATCGGCATTACTTCTTCCTTCACCATTAGCTGAACCCAATTCTGGTGGTTTGGTGGTGTCCCGTTCGTCAATTACTAAATCTATTGGCATTTTACCCTTTAAACATGAGATATATCGATGACAGAAATTATCGCATAATTCATGTACCTATTAGATTCGGTTTTGGGTTTTTTTTCAAATTTTTCATTTTTTTCGGTGTGTGCGTTCGTGCGTGCGTTCGAGTTTTTTTAACGTTTACAAAGAGGGTAAAATTGCAATTTTTATTTGGATTTTTTTATTTGATCGCAGCGTGCGTAGATTTGTTGAGAAAAAAGAGAAGAAAAAAAGAAAAAAGAACGGGAATTAGTTTTGTTTGGTATAAAACATAATTTTTTGTTTCTTTTTAATTTTTTTAAATTTTTTTTTTATTTATTTTTTTAAATTTTTTGGAATTGGTTTTCTAGGGTTCATAATGGTGCAAAGTTAAATTTATTGCTTATATGAATTTGTTTTACTAGGAAAATTTGTGTTCCAAAAATAAAATAAATAAATAAATTGTATATATAAAATAAATATTAAAAACTAAATAATAATAATATTTTTTTATAATAAGAAAAATGCCTTAAATATATATAGGAAAATGATTTATATTATTCAATACTTTTATTCATTCAATTTTTATTTATAATTTTGATATATAAAATATAATTTTTATATTATTTTTTTTTAATATATTTAAATTAATTTTTTTTTTACTTTTAAATTTTTTATTTTTTTTTTTTATTTTTTTTTTTTATTTGAATTTTTTTAAATTTATTTTTATTTTTTTTTTTAATTAAAATTTTATTTTTTTTAAAATTTTATATTTTTTAATTTTTGTTTTTTTTTTTAATTTTATTTTTTTTGAATTTTTTATTTATTTTTTTAATTTTTATTCATTTTTTTATTTTTATATATTTTTTAATTTTTTATTTATTTTTTTTTAATTTTTATTTAATTTTAAATTAATTATTTTTTTTTTTTTCAATTTTTTATTTTTTTTTTTAATTTTATTTAATTTTTCTTTTTATTTTTTTAATTAAAATTTTATATTTTTTTTTTATTTTTATTTTTTTTATTTTTTTATGTTTTTCAAAAAAAAAAAATACTTTTTTTTTAATTTCCCTGCCTGCCTTTTTGTGGGGATCTGCCATGCAGTAAACCTCATCAATTCAACTCTGATAGCTATGTAAATTAGATTTCTTTTGCGTAGAGAACCATTTAGCTTGCGTACACTAAAAAAATGGCGCATTCTCTTCGCCTCTACCCTACACCTTTTGCCCATAGAGTATAGATGTATAACTGAAATGCCGGCCGGCCATAACATCGGTTTTTTATTTATTTTGACAATGGTCAGCAAAAATTCCAAAAACATAAATATGCAAGGAAGGATGATGATAGCAGGCCAGCCAGTCCCGAACAGAATGCGGCCACGTCTGAAGCTCATATGCATATTGGGCCCTAAAGGCATCATCTTCTCGCTCTCTCCCCCCACTTTGTTAAAGGTTTAGAGGGTAACCATGGCTAAGTCCAACCAACCAGCCAGCCATGCTATGCAAAACACATGCTCCATATGCAAAAAAATGTGTGTGTAGAGAAGAAGAAGCAGCAGCAGCAGAGGTAGAACAACAGACATTGCTCAAACAGAGTTGCATTTGATAAAGAAGTTGCATATGAAGTTCGACTGCCGCTTGCTGCTGATAACACACATTTCAAAGAGATAATGAAATGATTTTTTTTTTTTTTTGTAGCTTGGGTGTAAAAGGTTCTGGTTCTGCTGAGGCTTGTAAAAAAAAGTAATTTAAGAGGTGATCTAGAGGAGAAAATCAGGTTGGGGGGAGGGGAACTTTGCAGCTAAAATGTTTAAGCTTTTAAAATGATATCATGTCTGAGTTGTTGATGAGTTTTTGTTTTTTTCGAAGGAGCCTCAGACATCCGTTTGATATGCAAATGGTTTTTTTCTTTCGTCTTACTCTTCCCTTAAATTGTTTTTCTTGGTGTTGTTGTTGTTTATTTTTTGTGTTGCTGCTGTAATGCGTTTTTTAGCCTGCTATTGTTGTTATCGTGCCCAAAAAAAATTGTTTTTTGTGTCACTGGTAAAAATACAATATTGTTGGATGGTTGTTGTTGTTTTTATTTTTGGTAAGAGACCTCTGTGTATGAGTGTTGACTTGTTAAACTGGTTTTTGGTGAGTGCCTGCTGGCTGGCTGGCTGACTGGCCAAGTTGCATTGTGGCTGCTTTTACGCTTGCGCACTCATCGGTTTCCAGCTGACCAGTTGTCATCGTCATCCTCCAAACTATACTGTGTAGTCTGGCTGTATGGCATGGCAAGGTATGGTAAGCTATTTGTAGCTTCACAGCGTCCTTAAGAAGTCTCTGGCAGACCCTGTGCTTCACTCCCCCCAACCTCAACCCCCAAACATACACACAGCCACACCAAACTCTGGGTTGAATGAAATTGTTTGCGGTCAATGTTATTGTCACCGAAAATCTCGACAAGGAAAGGAACTTTTGTTTTTTTGGTTGTTGTTGCTTTTAACTGTTATTTTATGCTTTCCAAAACAAATACTGGTTTCCAAAGGCCAAAAATAGTTAACCACCAAAAAGTGTTGGAGAGTTGGGGGCCAAGCAGAAAAAAGAAAGTTTTTCCAACATTGAAATGATAAATTGCCATTGGCCACAGACAAACAGACATTTTATTGCCTTATTTTGCTAATTATTAATTTTTATGATTTGTTCTGCATCGGTCCATGTCTGTCCTGTGGTGCCCTTTTTGTATATTCCCCACATGTAAGAGTTGTACGAATGTTGTTGTTTTTGTTGCCATAGTTATGCATTTTATAAATTGTTATGTTCCGAAGGAGTTAGGAAGAAGTACCCCCAGACAACTTCTCATTACAATGCCAATGATGATCAGCAGCATCATCAGACAAACACACACACATACACACCAACATGTCTGGTTCTTTGGTTGCCATTGTCATGCCCATGTTGTTGTTGGCTGTTGCTGCTGCTGATGCATTGTTAATGATAATTTTGATTAATTTGTCAAGTGTTGAATTTGACATGTTAAGCGAGAGCAAAATGCTCAGATGATGACTTGAACCTGGTGTATTGTCCACAATAATACTACACCATAAACTCATGGTGCCCCATTATGATGTGTGTGTGTGTGGTGTCCGGCTCCCGGTATGGTGGTGGCAGTACTGCAATTGTACAGACGAACGTACCGAACTGAATGGTTTGACTCATCTTCGATGCTGCAAGGAATACATGATGATGATGATGCATCAGAGCAGTCAAGACAACAAACATTGAGGCAAGACGACAGTCACTTCGTCATTCAGTCAGTCACTTAGTCAATCACACAATTCTTTCTATATGAATACGTGAAATTTATGTATGTTTTTCCTTTTGCACAGAAGAGAAATTCCTTTAATTGTCATCATCATCATCATGAGTGTCTTCTTCTTATTTTTTTTCTTGTTGTTGTATATGATGTTGTTGCTGTTATTGTTGTATTTGGGTGGCATGTCAACTATTTGCCAGGCACAAAATTATGTTGGCCATGTTTTGCTTTTGTGATAAGTTAATAAAACATAAATAACAGAATTATGACATAAAAATTACACGAAATATTTCTGAGTGCCACAGCAACAACAACAAAAATTGCAAACAAAACAACAACTAATTGAGAAATTAATTAAACTGCAATAAGAGGAGATTTCCCGAAGGTAAAAAACGGGCATGAAGATTGAGATAATTGAGAGATATGAACATGAAATTTAAAGAAAAAGCTTTAAAAGCTTTCGGGGATATCGCAAAAGCTTGAAGGGAGAAGGAGATCAAATTTAAATAATATCCTAATGATAATTAAATTATATGATCATGAAATAATATTTTTCAATTAAAAGCTTTTAAGCTTTATTCAAATACCCACATAGCTTTGGACCGGGGTAATTGAAATTCGAGCTTTTTTATTTTTTTTTATTAAATTTTAGGCAATTTAATGAGGAGTTTTTTTCAAAAAGAAGATCCAACAAAGCTTGTAAGCTTTAACAAAAGCCGAAAAAGCTTTAAGGAAGTTGAAAAATAAATCCCAATTATTTTATAAAATTTTAAAAACCAAATCAAAGGCAAATTAATGGAGTTTTAAAATGAGTTTTCTTTCTAATGAAAGATCTCAATAGGCCAGCTTAGAAAAGCTTTGTAAAGACGTCCTCAAAGCTGTTATTTTTTTAAATCATTTTTATTAATAAAATCCTGTCTTTCAGCTTTCTTTGTTAAACTTCCTTCTATCACATTTTCTGTTTTCAGATTTGAAATATTTTTTCTTGTTCTTCTTCTTGCTCTTTTTATTTTTGCAGCTGTTTTTCTGTTCGCAATTTCCTTTTGATTTTTGTTGACTGATAAAAATCAAATTTACACACATTCATAGTAATTTTCCTCTCTGCTACAACAAGATTTAATGCAAATTTTTAGTTTGTTGTTTTTGTTGTTTGTTTCAATTTTTGTTCTCATACTTAAAGCATCCGTTCCCCATAATGAGTTGGAATGAATGAATAGTTTGTCTTTTTTTTGTTTTTTTTTTGTAGTGAAAAGCAAATTAAATTAAATGCATTGGTGGCGGGCCGGACGAATGGATCTCCGAAGAACCCCTTCCTACTTTATATGGTTGGTGTTTGGTGTTGTTGTTTGTGCAAGTAGGCACCATTTGGTCTCTAGACAATAACTAAAAATGGTATGGCATGGTGTGGTGGTGATCCACATTTGCAACCGATTGTTGTTGTTGCTGTTCGAAGGCAACAATGTAAATCTCAACTCACAGATTAAATCTAATATGGTATGTATTATTTTGGAATTTAGAAAAAAAATATATATATATATATATATATATATATAAATATTTTGTAATTTGTTTAACGGCCTTATAGAGAAAATTCGAATTAAAAAAAAACTAAAAATATACAAATTTGGTAACCGGTTCAAATTTACATAATTACTTATTTAAGTAAATTAAGGAAATTTGGTTTTATTTTTTTTCAAGCCAAGCATTACTAAACCCCCAAAATAACAAGAACATTATTTTTTTCTTTATGCTTGGTTGCATTTAATTAAAAAAACCGAAATGGTGGTGTTTTTTTTTTGAGAAAGTCAAAGCTTGGTTTATTAAGCGTAACAATTTTCAGAGTACACTTGAAACCATTGTTAATATGTATATTAATTGGTTTTTTATGTGGTGTTTCCTTTTCCGAAAAAAAATAATTAAAAATATATATTTGAATTTCTGTGGCCAAGGTGCTAAAACGGCCATAAAATGTGTAGGAGGATGTGTCAAAATCCCTCAAAAAAGACAAAGTATGGCTGGGTAATTTAATATTAATTAGTGAATTAAGGAAACATAAAATTAATGGCTGAGAGAAAACCAACAAATTCTCGAAACAAAAATACAATAAATCTAAAGGTAATTAAAACCCAAAGAAAAACAATGTAAAATCATATATTTGTTTTTCGAAGAAGATTTTTGAGGTGTAAGGGGAAGCGTTAGAAGGCTACTTCACAAGATGAAAATATAGCTCAGGGGGTACTCTGTCTATTACTCCTTTATGGAAAGACTGTAGCTTGACTTCAAATGGGAGAAAAATGTATCCAAACCAAGTCACATTTGAAAATATTTTTTAATTTAAGAATTGAAAAAAAAATTCTAAAAAAATCTCAAAAATATTTTTAGAGTCCCTTATAGTCCCCTCTTTAAAACCAACAAGTGAAGTTGGCTGCAGTTGTCATGTGTGCATTAAGATAATTAATGAAATACAGGTGGCGCCCTAACAAAAAGCAGTAGAGTTACATCTGAAGGCGTTTTGATGGGTAAGGAGAGGAGTTAGAGGCATAACTACTTTAGAGGAAATGAAGAGCATTGGATTTGCAACATTTCAGTCTTTATATGCGAGATTCTATTTGGATAAAATATATGAGAAATGGGCCAAATACAAAAATGATTATAGGAAGAAATTATTAAATTATTTATTTTTTCAATATTCTTTTACGATGAAGATTTTGGGTGAAAGGACTAGAGCTAGAGTCATGCATCCTTGGAAGGAAATTTAGTTTAAGGGGTGACTAATAGAACACTCTTTTATGTCGAGCCTCTATATACACTTCGTATATGAAAAAATGGGAAAAGAAAAATGTGAGTTTTGGAAGAAAAATTCAAAATGTATATTTCCATATTTTTGTCTTCTTTGAGGCATTTTGGGTGGATGGAGTTGGGATAGAGGTATGGTTCCTTTGGAGGACATGTAGGCTATGATGTCCTTAATAATTTACTACTTTATATCAAGACTCCACATGCTCTCTGTATATGAGAAATGGAGGAAATAAAATAGTGAGTTTGGGATACCAAGTGACCACATTAAAAATCTTACATTTTTTATTTATTTTTTTTTTTAATTTCTTTTGCATTAAATCTTGTTGGGAGGCAAATTATTCTATTTTTTCCTACATATTTAAGGCATTTTTCTTAATATATATTTTTTATAATATAATTTTAAAATAATTTCTGATGGCGTTACTTACTTTTTCTAATTCTAAAAGGTGAAACCGAAGTACTTGTATTGCTTGCACCATCTGTAAAGAGAAAATGAAACAAATTATTAATTTATTGTTGTAGAAAAATTATTTAAATTACAAAACCATAAAATCTGAACCTTGACCCTTTGAAAAATGTATTTTTGAATTTTTTATAACCCTATTTGTAAACCTTATAATTAACATATTACACATCATTATTTTTTAAATATGTTTTATGCTTAGGAAGTGTTCTTTTTTCTGAAATTTTTATTAGACAGTTTTATGTGTGTATTTAGCACCAAACCTCAGGACATGTATGACAACTACATTTCATTCAGTAAAAAAGAAAAAATGATGAACAAATGAAGAGAAGAATATTTTTTTGAAAAAAATTGTATTTGGTCGTAAAGTTCTTTTGAGACCATAACACAACCATTAAACCAAAATTATTATTACATATATATTTGTTTACAAATCCTCTGGATGACACTTAAAAACAGTTGTTTCGAGATTTCAAAAAAACACAAGTTTTTTATGGCCAACCTGCCAGCTTAGAAGGAAGACAAGGCCGGAGTCATACAAGCAAAATATTAAGTATGTGTTACTAAATTGTGGTTGTTGTTGTTGCTGGTGTTTTGGTTTGAGGCCTCATATAACATCATAACATTTTTATACATATCATAAAAATGAGGAAAAGACCGACCAACAGACAGACAACAAACACAACTAAATTACCCAACAACATACATACGGCAGCAGCAACAACATTGCATTGCCCATGATGTTGTTGTTGGTTGTTTTACGACAACAAAATGATTTATGAGTTAAAAGTACTTGTTATGAAAAAAATGTGCGCAGGCGCAACGCATACCATAGCAGCAGCAGTAAAGAGAACAGAAGGAAGTTAAGAGCCATAGCGTACACATGGCTATGATTTTTGTTAGACCACTATAAAGCAATGATTTGCCATGGTTCGAACTACCTCTTGGCGAGTGCAACTGATTGTTGCTTCAAACTCCAATAAGTATGTTTATACACTTGCTACAATTTAATGCATGTTCTTGGCCTTTAAATTGGTCATAAACTAATAATAATAAGCCATAAATGGTTTTGCTCTCTCCACTCTACTCTATGATCTATAAAAACAGAAAATATTATGATGTAAGGCATGAGGGAAACACCGATTATAGGGTTCTTTGACAGATAATTTTTTTCTGCTTTATGGTTTGTTTACCAAACAGAAAGACAGACCATAATTTTATTATAATTAAAAAAGAAAATACAATTTACATTATAATACTCCTACTCTCTGTTTTCTAGACGTAAAAATTCTCCTCATATTAAAAATAACAACCATGTAAAAATTAATAAAACATCTTCCCTTATAAGCCATTAAAAATCCATCTTAGAAAGCCAACAACAACAATAACACCAAAACAAAATTGTTAATAATCACGATAACGATGATGATGACGTTAAATATTAGCAACAATCTTGTTATATTATTTCAAATGAATTTAAATCTTTTTTATATTCTTGTTTAACATTTAATGGAGGGGGTATTTGTTGTTGTTGTTTTTGTATTATTTTTTGCAAATGCATAAAATATACTATGTGGGCTGCTGCTTTAGCATTTGAAAAAAATAACAACACATATTTAATTTCAAAATCTTTTAAATGACATTGAACTTGTTGCTGCTGGCTGTTAAGCTTTCAATTCTCTCGTTCTTCCTCTCTCTCAAAAAAGCTGGTTTTTATTGTACAAAAACATATTTATATAAAGATATATGTACATATATTTAAGAATATATGCTGGTTGAGGTTTTGTTGTTGTGGTGACTGATGATGCATCCCCTCAAGTAAATAACAACAGTAGGGGTTGGATAAAGGCAACAGAAAAAAATATTTTTTTTTTAAATTAAAAAAAATAATGTTTATTTAATGTTTATTTAATCTGGAATAATTTTTTTTAAATATTAAAATTTCAAACAAGGGGAATAATTTTGAATTGTTTTTAATACGTGAAGTTGGCTGCAATTGCTTTAATATAAATAATGAAATATAGGTGGCGCCCAACGAAAAAGCAATAGAGTTACTTTCTAGGTGCGATTTTCCGAAGTAAGGAGTGAAGTTAGCTGCATAACTTCTTTAGAGGAATTGAAGTCCATTAGATTCTCTACATTTCACTCTTTAATAGCAAGGCTCTACATCAAACTCAGATATTGGAAATAGGGGGAAATAAAATAGAGTGTTTGGAAAGAACATTTAAAATGTGTACTTTTTTGTCATCACTTTAATTTGGTATTTTTGGGTGTAGAGTTAAGTTCAGAGATATGCGGTGGGTCCTTAATATTTAACTCCTTCTATGCAAGACTCTGCATGCACTCCGTATAGGAGAAATTCAGGAAATAAAAATGGGAGTTTGGGTAGAAAATTTAAATGATGAAATTTGTCGTTTAAATTTTCTGTGAATCGTTTTGGATGCAATAAGTTGAGATAGCGGAATAGTTCCTATGAATAAAATCTAACTTAGAGGGTCCTTAACATTTAACCCCTTTAATGCAAAACTCTGCATGCACTCCATATATGAGAAATTGAGGTATTAAAAAGGCAATTTGGGAAGAAAATTTTAAAGGTGTATTTTTTCGTTTTTAATTTTATTTTGGTTGGTTTGGGGTGGAAGATGAAGAGTTGGAGAAAGGATTACTTTGAAGAAAATCTAGCTTAGAGGGTGCTTAATATTTAACTTATTTAAGGCTAGTCTCTATATTCAATCCATGTATGAGAAATTGAGCTATTAAAAATGTAGCTTGGGAAGAAAATTTAAAATGTGTACTTTTTCATTCTAAATTTTTATTGTTCGTTTTTGAGTGAAAGAAAAGGGAAAGATAGGGGAATGTTTCCCTTGAAGAAAATATAGCTTAGAGGGTCCTCGATATTTAACTCCTTTAAGGTAAGTCTCTACATGCACTTCCTATAAGAGAATTGAAGGTAGTAAGAAGGGAGTTTTAGACGTTGAAATACATACTTTTTTTTAATTTCTTTTTATTGGCTATTTCTGTTGCAAGCAGTGGCAGTGGAGCGTTGTTTGCCTTAGCAAAAATGTTGCTCATGAGGTCCTTAATATTTGCCTCCATAAGTATAAAGCTCTATATAGATTCCTTCGGGTAAGAAATAACCACATAACCTTATAATTTTCTTTTTATTGTGGTTCCTCTGTTATAATATTTTTTCTATTACTTGTCCATTATTTTGTATGTATGTGTGTGTGCCATTTGTGTGTGACAAATTTATTTTAATTTTTGTTTTATTAAATTTAATTGAATTAAATTGTTTGAAATACAAAAATGGCTATGGCTGTGATTTGTACACAATTTTTCAAATACAGTTTTTGGGTCAAGGTATATTGAATTGAAAAATTTTGTATATAAAAAAAGTATTTTTTACTTACCAGTGAATCTACTTCGGGATCTGCTGTGTAGTAGGGTTTTTGTGATCTGATCTGTAAGAGAGAAAGAAAAGAGAAAAAATTAGTTTTTTGAAGAAAAAAAATTGCAGTGGGGACCACCTACACAAAAAAATGGTAAAACTAAAATAAGGATTTTCTTTGTAATTTAAAGGATTTACAAGGACAAAAAAAATAAAAACCAAAAATAGATGATGAGGATATTGGTGATCTAGAAAAAAACTACCTGTTCTAGAAAAAAAATAAACCATGACTAATTCCTATTTTGTGTAAACAAACACACACATTTTTTTCTTTCCCTTATATTTCCTTGTGTGTATGAGTGTCTCTTTCTCTCTGTGTGTGTTTTTGTGCCAGGATTAATTGTGTTGATATGCTAAGACCGACCATAATAAAAATTCAGGCGAAATCCCTATGTCTAGAGATAAGCATGCGACTCAATGTCTCCTCTCCACTTTTTTTGAAACAGAATGGCATTTTAACATATTTCTCCTGAATGACTGACGTGCTGACTGTCAGTATGACAGATAGTTGGTTGGTTGTATGAATTTGTTGTACTGACTGCCTGACTCAGTCAGTCTGTGCTAGTAGTGTCTGCTTTTAATACACTTGATGGTTGATGTCATAAAACAACAATAAACCCTATATAGTGTTGTTTGCGTACATTTTATAACACAACAAAATATTTAGTGTTGTTGTTGCTGCTATTTTGTTACTCTGTGGGGCAAATGTGTAACAGCGATTTTTTGTTTTGTTTTGTGGTGACATGCAAAAAGACCTAAACAGAAGACGGGGCGACACAATCGGCTAAAGCCACACACTTAGATAAAAATCACCAAAGCAATAAATAGATAAAAATGCCACCTAGTAGTTGTGCTAGTAACAATAGTTGAACTACAACAACAACAAATAGCAAAAAATATAAAAATCCAAAATAAAGAACTAGCAAAGCCACAAGATTTTCAGAGGCACCAGACAGACAATGTTGTGTTGTTCTTTTGGCCAAAATAATAATAAAAACAACAACACCTCAGCCAGAGCACTCCCAGCCGTGTGGCAGTGAAAGAATCCCCAACTGCAAAAACACATGTGTGAGACTAATGATGGCCATAAATCATTAAAGGTGGTATTCCACTAATATTATTGTTTATATCTGCTGTTGGCCACAACAGCAACAACAATAACAAAAAAATAAAAACAAAAACACAACCAAAAATCCCCCCGTAAATGCCAAAAAGCTCTAGAAAACAATCGGCAATATTTGTAAACTTTAAAGAAAAAAAATACAATTTTTTTGTAAATATTAAAAAAAATCACAAAAATAAAAAAATACTATTGAACCCCAAGATCAAAAAGAAACAACATCAATCATTTGCTTGTGGGTACCCAAATAGCTACCCCTCCCACCAAACAAAGGCAACCAAATTGCAGCTGAAACGAATGGCAACCAAGCAGTAAATGCCAGTTAGCCATCCATACAGCCAGCCAGTTAGCCATTGTGAGTAAACCATATTTGATTATAGGTTAGGAGTATTTTTTTGAACAAGAAGAAGAAGAAGTAGAAACAAAAAAAAAATAACCCCTTTAACCATAACAATTATAATAATATGGTAAAAGCGAACTAAAAAAATGCAAATTCTATGCTGGGCCACCATACATAACAAAGTAAGAAAGAGTAGTGCCTTCTCTTTCTAACAAAATGTATTTTTTCCGATATTGAAAAATAAAAAAAACAATTGAGGTATTGGGAAAAAGAAAATGGTTTTCCCAAAAGAAGGGGACAAAGAGCAAAGAACAAGGCATATTTTTTTAAAGGGAAAAATAAAAAAATCTCACAAAAAATGCAATTTTTTTTAAAATAAAAAATTTTAAAAAAAATTATTCAAAATTTTGGAAATTATTTTTTTATGAAAATTGTTTTTTTTTTAAATTTTCGAATATTATTTTTTTTTTATGAAAATTTTTTTTTTTTTATATATTTTCGAATATTATTTTCTATAATTTTTTGAAATTGTTTTTTATAAATTTTTGAAAATTATTTTTTTATAAACTTTTGAAATTTTTTTTATATATTTTCAAAATATTTTTTATTTTTTTTGAAAATTTTTTTTTTTTATAAATTTTTAAAAATTTTTTTTTTTTATTTTTTTTTTTTGAAATTTATTTTTTTATACATTTCTTAAAATTGTTTTTTTTATAAATTTTTGAAAATATTTTTTTTAAAATTGTTGTTTTTATTTTTTTCCAATTTCTTTAATTTTTAATTATTTCTTAATTATTAATTTTTATTTCAAATTTTTTTCAGCCCCAAAAATCCAGTTTCATATTTCATCCCGCAAATAATGTAAGTATTTATTTAGTTGTTATTGTTGTTGTACTTTTTTCTATTTTGAAAAAAAGTTGTATTTTGTTGCTCTTCTCTACTAGAGGTTTTTAAAAATACATAAATCATTTTAACAAGTAAATTCACAGCATGAGACGTTTGTGCCACAAAAAAAAAACGAAAAAATCATGTCGGCAATGTTATTGCTCTGGTCTATAAATAAATTACACATGGCATGGAAGGCAAGGCAACAAGAGAGGGGAGAGAAGTGGGGAGGCTAGAAAATGCTCTTCAAATTGTTGGATGATTAGAAATTTATTTTTTTTTTTTTTTTGTTTTGGTAGGAAATTTGAGAAAAAAATTAAGAAAAGCAAAAAACAAAAACGAGAATAAAGCATAACAAACATATATAAATAAAGAGCAAAATAGGGGATTGGCAACATGTTGCTGAGACCAGTAGGGAGAAAAATATGTTGCAAATATTTTGTATATAAAAAATGGAAAGGAAATTGTTTTATATGTTGCAAACATTTTTTTATTTTAAAAAATTTTAGAAAATCATTTTAATTTTAATAAAAAGCAATTTTTTTGGCAACATGTTGCTGAAAGCCAAAATGATGCTAAACAGTATTTTAGTAACATGTTGCCAAAGCGGGAAATGTTGCTAAGGCTATTTTCTTTATAAAAATTCAAAAAATTATTGGTTTTTTTATTTGTTTTTTATTTAAAAAATAATTGGAAACTAAATTCTGAATACTTTAACAACATGTTGCCAAAGCAGAAAATGTTGCTAAGGTTTATTACTTTATAAATATTTGTATTTTTCTTCTCTTTTAAAGAATCTTTTGAATAATTATATTAACATGTTGCCAAATTTAAATACTTTTCATAATCTCTTATCTTATCACAAATTTGGGTAATAATTTCATGTCTTGTCTATTTTGTTTTTAAGGTTTTGGTTTATTTATTATTTGTGTTGGCCCAACTACCGGATGTTTAAAAGGTATCTAGAAGTTTTATCGAAAATCTTTTTTTAAATATTTGGGATTTCATTCAATTCTCGAGAGAGAGAGAAAGTAACCTGAGTTTGGAAAAGCAAATAATGAAACTACTGCTAGAAATCTCTGTTGTTAATAAATATTGACACTTTGCAGCAACAATTCCTGGGATTACTCAAAAAATTATCTGAAACCTATGAGCATACACACACAATTTTTATGGTAGCAGTTAATGTTTAAGTAATACCGTTTTCTGTTTTGTTTGGTTTGTTTTTCGTTCATTGTCTACTGTCTAGTGTCGTGCTGGTGAAGGTGGTTAGATATAGGTAGCAGCAGCAATTGCTGCTTCAAGTGTTGTAAAGATAATGAAGCCCACTGGAAAAAACAGAGCAAATAAAATGCCACTCATCCAAACACAAATATTAACACATGTTTTGGGCTCTCTCTGACTGTAGCCATCTATAACGCAATGTTCACATTTTATTTTTTTTCTTTAAATAAATATTACAACAAGAAATTATTACAATTATTAGCTATGTAATGTGATTGTTGTTGTTGTTGGAATGCAGCTCCAAATGTTGGCCACCCTTCATCAGGCGCACCACTTGTTATCTTTATGATTTGTGTGTGTGTGATATTAGCTTCTGTTGTTGCATAGGCCTACATGTCTGAGCTTTATTTGTTGAGGTGGGGTGGGGGGCCAAGAGACGACAATATGTTGTGTTCAGGTTGACCATAAACCCGGGGCCATAAACATGTAATCATCAGCAGTATGATGATACCCTGCAGTTTGAAATCTACACTCAACGAAAAAAAATGTGTTACCAAAAAAGAAATTGTTGTTGTTTTTTGAAGATAACATTATTGGTTTGTTTGGCAGCATGTGTTTTGCTCTAGTTTAACCAAACAATCAAGGTAATCTTTTTTAGATTTGTAGATTTTTTTTTGGTACGTTTTTGGTTTTGTGTAATGAAATATCTTTCTTTCAATGATAAACACTGAAGATAATAAAGAGCAAATGGTATTGGGAAAGAATATATGTAGAGGCGCCAGCTAGGCGACAAAAAATCTTCTTTGGTACTTCTGGTTAAAAAAACACAGAAGTATTTTGCCCCCTCACTTTAGAAAGAAAAATTTTCAAATCTTATCTGCATGGTGTTGGTAATCACGTGAGAATATTAAGGTTAATTGATTGAATCATATACCGAAAAATGAAATTTTAAACAAAAAAAATCTAAACACCATAATTTTTTTTATTATTTGGGCTTTTGAAAAAAATAAAAAAAATTAAAAAAAAGATCTAAGGAAGTCATTGCAAAAAAAAATTATTGTTATTATTTACTTTGTTAGAAAGAAACTATTATTTTTTATTTTATTTAGTATATCAACAACCTGTAACAAATAAATACCCAGTAGTTATTATTTTTATAACCAGTCAGTCGGCCACTCAATAATATCTTTTTGACTTCGTATAAAACCCCCAATATAAAATAAAAAATAACGAAAACGCAATATAAAAATACAATTTTATAGTGTTGTGATTTGACATGTGCGGTAGCTCCGAGTATTACTTTTAGATTTATGAAAATTTATGAGGGCCTTAGACGCAGGGGTATTATAAAAAAAAATAACACACAGTAGACGTGTAAAAGCCACCAAAGCAAAATGGACAAAAAACAAACTGCAAAATTGAAACCATCAAATCAAAGTTTTGA